TGTGGGCTTCCCGGGCCAGCTGCACATACTCTGGTATGTTGGGATTCCCGGTGGAGCTCTTGATCCTCTTCACAGCTGCATACTTAGTCTTGATAGAGGTTGTCRTCCTACCTACAGGCCAACTCTCAGCATGCTTTGCTGTAATGTGCTCCCATCCCTCAGCACATACAGGAATTACATCGACTATCAGTCTCATGAGACTGGTAACCTCTTCACGCGAGTAGTTAATAGTACCACTCTTCCGGCCAGATTTGCCACAAGCAGCACMAGGAACAGAGGGATCCATCTTAACAAATATAGTGTGGGGGATGGGACAATGGTGGCAAGCCTGCTCGTCGTTGTGACAATGAGGTCTCTCTTTGAGGAGGTCGCCGGAAGCCTCCTCCTCGTGAGCCTCTCTTTGCTGCAACAAAGAAAGGAAATAGAATGCACTGACTAACAGCACAGATCGAGACATAGTTTATGTCTTGGGCGCCTTTCTTATTACTGTAGAGGCGCCTTCTTGTATGTCATTTTGATACTTGTTTAGAAAAGAATATGTTTGGCCGGGTGTTAGTAATTTTGGCGGGCCTTTCTGTTGAATCTTTCAACGGACTGGAAATTTTGATTYGTGGGTTCCATCATAGTTTAGCACATTTTGAATGGGGTCAGTTGACCCATTCAAAAAATGCTAAATCTATGACAAATTGTCATAKATTTTCGGTCTGTCTGTCTATCAAATTTAGCATTTCTATAATATCGGGAATCATTCAATGACTTGTTGTCACAATAATGACTGAATGTTTAAGTTGAAAATGAATAATTTATTTTGGTCAAGGTACTAATTTATTTGCAAAAATTAATATACTGGGGTTTGTACAAATCCACACTAAAAAAAATCTATTTGTTTCCTCGGTAAGTCCACCAGCAGGACTGTAAGAATTCTTCAAGGTTACTGGTGGCTWTGTGCACTAAAGATAGYGAAGTGCAGTGCAGTGCACCATAGCCAACTCCAGCAAACATATCACCATATGTTTTCGGGAAGCACTTTCAGTGGTACTGAAGGCACAGCTGGCCAGCTCAACTTACATATTTTCCCCCCATTTTGGGAATTTGGAATCCCATATAGTAATTGCACGCTAATTTGACAGCATTCCAACAATTTGGGATTTTCACCAAACCAGCTCTGTCTTCAAAACTTCAGAAACTGAATCCTCCTCCRAAACTGAATCCTCCTCTGAAACAACAATGAAAACAGTCCTTATCMTCAATATTTGGCTATCAATTCCTCCTTCACAGTAAAAACACCAGCCACACTATTCCCAGTAGGAATTCCTTTCCTGTGGAGGGATGCATACTTCCTAGTAGAGATCAAATCCCTGTCTCTTCCAGTATTCCAGTTTTCTTCATGTTGCTGAACAACTAGTACCCACTGATGATTTCCAATAGGAAGGATCTCTTTCAAGGTATTCAGCATGCACATTGTCTCCATCTTGGTGCAGTGTAGTTGATGGAACCCCTAGATCTTCCTCCTCTTTCTTGARCAGTCAGCCTTGCCGCAGTCAACGTCAAYGTTGACCTTGACTTTGCAGCTGCTGCTGCTRCCATGATCCTTCTGTTCTTCTTATGAGCTATGCTAATCACATATGGGATTTTGATGTCTTCCCTCTCAAGACAGTGCTGGCTCTGCTCTTCCCTCCRCCGACTCCTCTCTTCTCTCCTCCACAACAGAAGAATCTGGATGGGGCTCCATGTGCCAGCCATCACCATCAGCATTGGACTTGTTAGTACACAACAGCTTTTCCTCTTCTTTGGTTTTCCTTATCTTTGTTTCTTCTCTTTGTTCCTTCTCCTCTTTGTTGAGTGTGTTCTGCAAAGATATGCGTTTTTCTTGAATCAAAATTTTCAGTTTGACACCAAGAAGTGTCTCTCTGTTTAGGGCACGCCTGCTCCCAAGACTGGAAATGTTAAGTCAAGGAGGATTCCAAAGAAAAAATATGTCAAATACACAGATCCTGGTTGTTGTTGGCCCACAACAACCAAAATTTATGTAATTTGATACATAAAACGAGTCAACCAGTCTCATTTTTACATATTTCTATTTTTGCGGGAATCACCCATTATCGAGACACAGACCAAAGCTGAAATGYGCCATGCACAGTTTGCTAGGGTTTCAAAAGAGGGAAAGAACTGCCTATTCTTGTACTGCCAAACCTGCAGAGTTACTCTTTGGTGTAACTGCTACAACATTTTTCACAAGGTAAAGGATCTAACAAAGGTCAAGCCCAAAATGAAAAATTGCTGTCTTGTGCAACAAGAAGGAGACTCTAGTGGAGGAGGAGTTGGACTCCTCCACTAGGTCTAGGTCTACAAACAACCCAGCAGGGGCCAAGACATAGAAGACAATCAATGGAGTGGCAGACAATGGAGGTCCTCACAAGGTGTCACTTAGAAATCAATTGCTCCTACTCAATGATCCATTTCCACCAAATTGTGGAGCAAGAACTGCTGTGAATGATGATACACTTAGATTCAACGGCAAACTTACCAAGAAGAGGCTGGACAGGTCCCTAAATCACATTCCAATAAAGCACAAGGCAAAACATGCCATTCACAGATGGCTTGTTTTTGGAAAGGAGGGAGACAGCCTGTTGTACTGTATGGCCTACAAGGGTTGCTCTTTGTCCTATATTACAACGACTTTCACAGAGTGATTGATCTCAGGGAGATAAGTAAATATTGGTTGAAGCAAGAGTGTCTGGAACCAAATGAAACACCAAGGAAGGGGTACTGGGAAGAAGAGAAAAATTTACCGTCTTATTGGCCCAGGGAAGATAGAATACTCAGAAGGCAATGTTTGACTCATGATGAAGTAATTGCAAGAAGGATGAACAACCCCTGTTGGTTCATGCCAGAGTACTATGATATGTTTGATACCTCTGCTACTAGTGTTTTTCAGTTATCAGATGCAAAACTTGCAGAAGCATACAATTGCAAGTATTAGTGAGATTAGTTTTGATAGAAACAATGTAGTACTAGCTAGTAGATAAGTGTCAAATATTTTTTAGGACAAGGTGTGATGTTGTTATTACACGGTCAAAATGAACCATTCAAGGCAAGGCACATTATTTTCTTTATCAGTTTTGCACAATGAAATCCATCTATTCCTTGAATGAGTGCATTACATGGCCAAGATGAGCCGTACTAGAAAATGGTTAACCCAAAGAGGAAGAGAGCTGAGGAGGTTGAGGAAAAGGAATTCTTTTGCCTGTACTGTTACATGGAATTCTTTTGTAGGGAAGATAAAAGGAAAAGAACCATGGAGTGGTCAAAAATATGTATTGKGAGGAGTCACAAGGCATTTGTTTGYAAGGGGAGGATAGTGTGGAACATATTACATGGATCAAGGTCTGTTAGTTAGGAATGGGGCATTTGGTTTCTCTACATCCATGGCCAAATCAAAGGAGCCACCAGTATGAACTAGGTGGAGATACACCCAAGAGGAATACAGGCTGACTGGTAATAGACATAGAAGGGACCCAGTTGGAGAACAAAGTGGACCACAGAGTGATGGTAGTCTAATCATCTAGTAGGTGACATACAATTTGCTCCAACCACATATATTGAGGGAGYCAATTGTTGCTCACAAACATGCATTGGTGGATGGGGATGAGTCTGGGAGAGATGAAMAGGAAAACCAATCAACAGAGATTCCATCTCTAACTGTCAAAATGGGAGGGAATGGAAGGACTGAACTTATGGAAAGAGAAAGAARGACAAATCCTGTGTATAATGCATCTTCCCAAGTGAAGGCAGAGATTGAGCTATTGCATCTAGTGAAACACAATACAATGCCTTTGAATTTGTTCCAAAAAACTTGGAATTGGGCAGTACCAAGCCCAGGAGTAAAGCCAATGCATGGAGAACCATTTACTTCCACCCTGATGTAAAGCATGAGCTTGCAAGCCTAAACAAGACCACTTCAGCAGACAAAGTACAAAACCTTCACACAGGAATAAGGGCTGCAATGAGTTCCTTCACGAGCATTAGTAGTGAAAGTGATGATGGTATGTGGTGGGATTACCTTCCACACGCCAGTATAGTGTTGAAGGAAAGGATAAAGTTCAGTATAGTAGCACACATTGTTGGTGACACAGAAATGCATGACCGTCTGTGTGGGAGATACTAGGCAAGGGCTCCAGGTGTTCAAAAGCTTTGCAGACAATGTAAGTAGAATACAGAGAATACATGCAATCCGTCAGTGCAGCACAGGGAAGAACTTTGGAACCCTGCCAACTTTGACTCCTTGTCTGGAGGAACATCTGTTCAGATAAAGGAGAATTGCAGGAGATTTTCACCCACTCCATACGCAATGCCTTCCACAAAATGAGCTTTGGAACCAATGAACACAACATTCACCTGGCTTCACCTGGAGAATGCCTGCACATGCATCAACTTGGGGTTGCCAAAAGAGCTGGTGTGGAGTCCTTCAAGGAACAATTTCTGGGAAGATCACTGACATTCTATATGTGCCTGGTGGGTTCAAAGGTATTGCAGGAATGTACCATTCCATTGGGTTACTTGGCCAGGAATATGGGGCTCTGTTGTCCCAGCAATCTGATTGAGATTTTCCAATAACTACTAAATTTGGCATGGACATCCTCAATAACAAGAGAACAGAAGGTCGCAACTTTGCTGGAATCTTAATTGCCACCCTGCTGGCTCTACTTTCCCAGTGAKGGCTTGATATGGTGAAGGAAAGCACATTTGCAAAGGAACAGATATGGACTATGGAATGGATCCTGTCAATGAAGGAATTTCTAAAGCACGGCATACCCACCATTGGAAAGCAGAAGAATTTGCAACAAACAATTAATGACTTCATCAAATGCCTGAATAAGACATGTTTGAGAGGGGTGGGTGGGTATGAACCTCATAAAAACTCACTTGTACTTTCACTTGCCAATGTTTATTGAGCTCTGGGGCCTGCCATTTGGGTGGGATTCTGCTCCAAGTGAGAGTCACCAAAAAACTGAAATAAAGGCTCTGTCAAAGAACACACAACAGAGGGCATCAAATCTGGTTGAACAGACCATCATACATCAGTCTGAACAGATGCTGATTCACCTACAATCTTGACACAAGGGGTTAGAAATGACACACACAAAGAATTGCATTTCAGAGAGGGTGCAACATTTTGTATCAAGTGGCCAGATCATGATGGTTGCATCCCAACAATGGAATGGACAAAAAAGTAAGATAATCCTCATTTTCCACAGCTAATTCTCAAGTACTGCTGTGAAAAGGTGATGCCTTTAGTACAGGATCCAGGTTGTGTTTATATCTGAACTATACAGATAAATTATACTGTGGGATTAAAATTTGACTTATGCTAGGGATACAGCAATAGCATTTTAGAGCAAAAAAAAWTGGTTACACAACTGATACTATTTGGTTGCAAGGCCGGTGTGAATAAAATTCAGTATTTGGCCCCCTGTAAACTTAGTAGTAGCACAATTCAGTTTTTTTGTCAAAGTAGTCATTAAACGCAAAATAAGGGCCTAAAATGTATGACTGCATCATACATTTGGTAGCCACGTCCATGATAGTTGAGAGTGAAGTTATAAGTGTTTCTAGCTGCTGATGCTAGACTACTGATTGACTTGTAATGCAAGAAACAGTTTTTACAGTGCAAAAACAAAGTGAGTGCAAGGATGAAAAGAACTGTTTTTTTGTCAAGCTATTATTTTGCAAAATTGGGATACTGAGGTTTACATTGATTCTACACAAAAAAAAGTATCTTTTTGTTTCTTTGGTAAGTCCAGAGCAGTGAGAATAATCAAGGTCACTGGCTCCTCTGCACAAGTGCTGAAAAATGGTAGTCCAGTTCACCACTGTACAAGCCAATATTTATAATATCCCAAACAAGCTTACAGAACAATATTACAAGAAAATAAAACAAACTCAATATCATTATCTGATGAAAATAATCACACCTGATGTTTGAAGTCATTTGAATACTTTTTATACACAGAAACATTGCAACTTCTTGTTCATAGTATCTTCATAATTATCTTGGCAGAGAATACAGCTATGTCCCTCAATAATAGGAGTGCAGAAGTACCCATTCAATGATGTCACAGAACACCAATTTGGCACTGATACAAATGCCATCATTTCAACACAACAGAAAGACAATCACATTTGACACTGCTAAACTGCAAGGTAGAACTGTTATATGYCTTGTGTTTTAATCAAATAATATAAGCTACTGGTGCTGTGTTGTTTTCATTCATTTGCTTGAATTTTGTGCTGTAGTATTGCAGAGTGTCAYCATGGTTGATATTTCTTGACAATATTCAGGTGTCCTACTAGTACTCTTCATAAGATTCCAGAATAATAGATTAAGCAGTACTTGCAACTTGCCACCAACTAACCAGCAGTCACGGGACTGAAAATGTTCATTAGAAGCCCCCAGTAAATTTCAGTTTTGAAATAAATCAGAGGTAGTAGGACAGAGTAATTTGTCTTGAGAAGAGTTCACAAGGTATCGTCATTATGGATTTCTAATAAATATTACTGTAATAAATATAAACATCTACTTTCACGGTGCAACATTCCAGTCGATGGGGAGGACTCCCGTGTGCAACTCTAGAGGAAGATATCCTCCTTAGTCAGATGAGGAACGTCGCCTTGACCTTCGACGGGATTGATGCAATTATTTCGGTTCGGAATGACATAATTAAGATCCTCTTCCGTTATTTCCTTTCCACTAAACCCATCGGCGAACCACTCGACAATGCCGTTCCATACACTGTCCCACGCCAATGTTGGCATTAGTCGAGAGCGGGTGTTTCGGGACGCATTGAGTGGACTCTCTGACGTAATATCATGGGGGTATTTTCCCAACACTCGACCTCCCCGTAGGCCACCTCCCAGGATGAAATAGTTTCCACCCCAACCGTGATCGGCGCCTAGATTGGAATTTGGGGACATAGTTCTGCCGAATTCGGAAGACACTACAATCACGACATTATCCCAGATTCCGTCCAATTTCAGCTGCTTCACTAATCGTTCCAGGTTCCGGTTGACTGTGGGAAGCTTCTCTTTGAGTCCGGCCTTTGTATTCTGGTGGTGATCAAAGCCACCGAATTCGATAGTGAAGGTGTCACGGTCCGCCTTTCGAAAGGTTCGGGTTTTGATCATTTTGGCAAGCGTGTTGAAACTTCGTACCAGTTTGTCTTCGTCCTCGATCGTAGCCCAAATCGATTCATCGACACTCACTTTATCAAAATATTCCGTTAAGCGCTCGCCATCATCGATACCGCTAGTAAATACTTTCGACCACGTGTCCCCAAAAATACCAGAAAAGGCGTCTTGCTCGCCGTTCAAATCGGCAGCATAGCCCTCGATGTCGAACCATTCCTCTGATCTTGTTACCTTCGGGAAGGTGATTGGGCCGTCTCGGCCAACGACTGCCGTGGGGACCTCAATAGCTGGATTACCGGCAAGTGCGATAGAATTACCCTGGATGCCGATGGCGTTGACCCCGCTGTTGAATTTGTCGTGCAAAAGGTCGGACATCCTACCCAAAATGCCGCTTCCTGGGAGAGTGTCATAGGGATCGGTCTTCTTCACTTCCTTTTGCATAGCACTGTGACCAAACAGTCGAGTTTTTGTGACAGCATCCCAGTTGTCTCGGTTCATGTTATTTTGGTTTACCACTCCAGTATTTGCAAAGAACAATAAATCTCCGTCGTCGTAAAGTTCTTTGATAAACGGCAGGTCCGGATGGACGGCAAATTCTTCGCATGGTTGGTCCTCACCACCTGGTGTAATGGTCATATCCAATTCGTTTTTATCGTAGGCCAAGACTCCCCGTACCTGTGAGTATTGCACGTCAACCGTCGTTCCTTTCTCGTTTGTCCCACTACAGGACTTCGGTATTAAGACACTGTGGCTATCCAATCCGCCAGCCAGCATAAAGTGGACCACGGTCTTGTATGTAACACCCGTAGGGTCTTTCTCTACRAAAGATGGTCGCCTTTCGTTCGTTTTCCGCACCAACGAATTGGTGCTAAATTCCGGGGAAAGTGCTATCAATTGTTGAGCATTGATTAATGCCTCCTTTTCGCGAGAAGGTCCTTCTTCGGACTGACCATTTGCTAACGTTTCTAGGTATGCGCCCTTAACGATCTCTCTGTTTTCTGGAGAAAGACGTCCGCTGGTCAATAATGTGGCAAGGTCATTGACCACATCATCTACAGTGTCTAGTCCGTATACCTTTGGATTGTACTTGTTGCTACCAAAGCTGTACTCATCGTTGCCGATGACGCAAACATTGATCCTTCCAGTTCTCGTCGGATATGCTGTACCAAAAAATGACTCACCGCATTTTGTTGAACCATATTTAAAGAGGCTCAACATACCGTTCGAAGTCGTAACAGATGTTGGACCGTTTAAGACATGAGCTTCTGGTGCAAACATATTTGCGTCTCTAGCTCTCCCTATTTACAAAGAAATCGGTAGATATTTGAACATAATATTGAGTTAAACGTGGAAATCAACATAGAAGATGTCGAGTGCAATGTCTTACCTGGTGATATATAATCGGGTCCAAAGAACGAAAATACAGTTTGAATATGGTGCGGTTCCTCTCCAATCGTATCGATCAGATCTCTTTGAAACCGCACAAGTGGAAATTTGTCAGAAGTTGTATACTCAGAGGCTCGCATCGCTTTCATGATTCTCATGAATGGTCCTTGCAGCTGCCCTCTGCAGTGAGAACGTTGAAAAAATGAAAAAAAWGAAATAGTTTAGAAAACACGAAATGGAAATGAAATGAAGCAGGCATTGAAAAACTTACTGAATGGGATCTGCGTCAAGTATGTGGTCCTGGGATTCCCTATCCAGAATTATTGCCGCAACAGTTGCTTCGAGGCACCCGTATTTCTTGCTTCCAAAATCTCCATAAGTTCCTGTCTTRAACGCGGTTGCAATTTCGTTGATGTATCTAGGCGATGGGTTCGAAATTCCAAAACGTTGTGCTAACTTCCATGCAAGGAATGGTGGCAAATTCTGGTTAAAGAAATAATGGTTGAGCGTAGCATCCAATTCGTATTCACCATCCCGCCTAGTAACATCAGGGATCGACCAAAATGTGACGGGAGTTCTGAACATGAGTGATGCATTGCCGAGTTCTGTGATCGACTCCAAATTCTTTCTGTAGTGTGTTCGCCCTATCGAATCTGTGACTTCGAAAATAGTACTCTTTGTGAGCTCTCCAGAAGGGTATGTGTTGATGCCGACGATACTCGTTGGGTTGAAGGAAGCGTCTTCAGGTACGAACGCCCCGATTGTTGCAACAGATAAAAGGTCATCTACCGAAGTCAATTGAGATTCATTTTCAAACAATAATGCCTCCACAACACTAACTTTGCACTGGCAGTTCCCATCAGCGTTGTCGATGAAACAATCTGGAGTAGATTCACAATTAGCAACAAAGTCATCGAGAAAGTCTCCGAGTCTCGGAAAATCAGGAGAAGGCCGCCAATCGGCTCGGAAGAACGATTTTGTATTGGTTGACACTTCCGAGTATGTTGCGTCCGCCTTGTCGCCCGTAGCAGCACTTGGCTGATGCACTACAGCAACATTTCCCTCGGGGCTCAATTTCGCACTCATTGAGCACGGAGAAGTGAGCCATTGGAAGCCTCTCTCTCCATCACATGCATATGGTCCTTCTGCTCCATCAGCACCGCATCCAAATTGCGCCTTCATTGGCACCAAGTCGCAAAGTTGGAKACCTTGTAGTTCACATCGCCGTTCCGCCGTTTCAAACGAAACGCGTTCCCCAGAGAAAAGCTCAACTCGACTATTAACCCTATTTTTGCCATCATTTGCGCAGCAAACCGTTGTTGCATCAAGGAGTGAGGGGTTGCCACAAAGAATTTGCCCTTTGCCGTCGTTTTTACCATGATATAGTTTGAAAATGCTTTTTCCATCGTTATAGAATGCATGATTGACACATGGTGGACGAATGTATTCATACCACAAACCAGGTGCTACTTCGATGGTTCGAGGTTCGAAAATTTCACATTCGATTCCTTCGCATGAGACATCATTCTGTAGGACAACCGTGTTCTTGGGTTCACAAACTCCGGCAGCATTTTTATTACAAACTATGGACGCTAGAGTAGATGAAAAGTTGAGTGAAAGTCGTTGTGGGGACTTCCCTTGTATCCAATACTCGTCATACGCAAAATCTGCGTTTGACTTTGCACCGAGGATACGGTACATTGCTCCTTTCTTCAAGAAATGCTGCTCTGGAAGATCAGAGCAGAGAGGGTAACCATCTCCGACGTACATTGAATTGAGTCCGAGCTTCATTTGGCAAACAAAAAGTCGAGGATCGATTGTGAGTCGTTCTAATTACGGATTCTTCACTTTACCATGTTGACATCGGGTTCTATAGAGTTGAATTTACTCCACGTACCTTTGGGAAGTGATCTTTATAGTGTGGAAAGATTTGAAGAGGATCAACCTCATTGGCACTGTTTTCTATGTTTCCGCGTTTGTCTTGGGCATAGAATCCGAGATAAACTTTAGCATATTCACTGATGACAAAGTTACTGTACGTTGAGATTTCATTGCCATCGCCATCTAATTTGAGCGTTCCGTCATTGTTCCTTTCAACCAGGCCTATGGTGAAAAGTTGCATAATTTCTCTGATTTATCAAAATGAAAAAAGGGATACCAGAAAGTAGGGACGTTCTGTGAGTGAAAAACGGATGCTGATGACTATAGCTCAGACAAGGGTTACAAATAAAGCACTTCGTACCTCGCATAATTCTCATCTGCTTGTTGAAGAATTCCATCCTTGATATAAGCGAATGCAGTACTTTGTCCATTGATGTAGGTCAACATTTTGGACATCAAAGGATGGCGTGTGACTTCCTTAAGGATGTCGAAATAGTTACCAAAGGCGTTTCTCACGAAACTATTATCGGTTCGTGTCAAAGGGGTACAGAATATAGAGACAGATAATGAGGAAAAGTTATATCCGCATTGCATTCGGTTTCGAAAGAAAGATGATTTGTACTCACATGTCGTAATAACTGAGATAATTTTCTGCAGCATCCTTCTGACCGGTTTCGTCCGCGACGACGAATATTTGGTTCAATGCATACGCCATTCTTTGAGCCAGCTGGTCTTTGGAGTAAAGCGCGATTTCTGCCCAAACCGTATTTTTCTGCTCGTCGTATGCTCCGCTTGGTTCTACATTTTTGACTCCTGACTTCATCGTGAATCCACCCATTCCGCGTGTCCCCGCTTCCAARCCGTGGACGCCTGCTACCTCGTCGGGGCTTCCGCAGACAAGCATCATTCCTTTTCCGTCGATATCAGCTTGTCCGTCGTATGAACACGCATCTTSGGGCGTCAATCGGCAAGATTCTTCGTTGAGGAAGGTTTTCGCTACATTAGAACATYTRACTTTAAGCGAATCCCGGATWTTGTCGTCGACGATATCTGCCGGCGGATTCGCGGTAAGGTCGACGGCATTTTTCCCTCCATCGARCAATGGAGCATCCATGTCGTTGCGCACGAGATCGAACGTTGGACTGTGAAGCCAATACCGGGTGTTGCCACTGACATTGGTGCTCGCGATAGCAACTTCTGCAGGAAAGTYGAAGCCTGTGACCTTCGACTTCACAGAATTACAATAGCTACCCGAAACGTCAGATGTCAGTTGCAAGACGTTGGAAATATCTTCGTAATAGTACTGTGTCATGACTTCCTCGTATTTTTTCTTAGGAAGAGTCACGATATCTTTGTTGAGATGAGAAAGATGCGCGTCGTCGAACTGGACTCGGGGGTTTCCAGATTCACCCCCGAAAAAGATATCTTKGWTCGCAGCTAAGAATGATCGAGAGCGAAATGATCAATGTTTAAAAGAACATACAATTTGGTTAGCGGGRCGGCGGMTATGAAGTCACTAATAAGAGAGCGATCTACATCGATAATGAATCCAATAATCGTCTTACTTTTCTTTCCTTKACCAGTTGGAACCGATAAAGTAAATCTTCCTCCAACTCCTTCAATCGGCCGAATACCTCCGATATGAAACCTGCAATGTGTTTCGGTTGAAATCATRTGCAAGAATAGAACGCCAATAGTTTCGAATTGTTAGCTGCATKCTTCAATATTCAGAATATATTCGATATGTGTGCGCGCGGTTGCATGTATACATTGCCAATGTTGAATGTCATGATACAAACGCMAGAGACTGGATTTCACAAACGTACCTAGTTCCTTGTCGATCAATTGGAATTGTGACCAAAGGGTCCTTTAGTTCTCCGTTCCCTTTGAAAGTCCCGTATTGCATCGGACCATCGACGACGGTGCGGACTTGTCCTTTGACTCCGTCAACGGTTTCGTAGGCCGTCAAGATTAATTTATTATTGTCCAGAGGACTTTTCCGAACTTCTAAATATGTCTTGTGATCGTTTCTGAGCATGGCAAAGTTGCGGTAGCGACTGCCAGAAGTACACGGTCCCGTATGGACCAATCCAAGACGTGTCGTATAGGGAAACCAATCTGTTGCTCTTTCGCGAAAGAATCTCCGGTGGGATGTCCGTGGCATTGTGAATTGTTCCGCAATCTAGAGAGAGAGAGAGAGAGACGCAAGGATATGTAGGAGTATGTTTGTGTGTGTGAGAGAGAGAGAGTGAGAGGGATAGGGCCACAGAATTGTTTTTGAGTGTGTGAGTGAAGGTGCTTTGTAAGAACGGTCACTATTTCCCGAGCCAAACGAAAACTTACCCACTCGTTTGGACTCGTAAAGGCTTCAATCTCCTTTTTATTCGGACCAAACGTTGCTCGTTCTAGGAAACGCGCTGTTTTGTCTTCTTCTGTCAGATCGTGGCCGTAATCATAGGACTTGAGCACGTAGGAACGCCCCTGGGGCGGCGTGGGGAGTGCAACTCTGCACTTGCTCCCCGCGGCGCAATCGAACGCAAGGGTAGCAAAGTCTCCCGGCGCGGCTTCCCAATCGTTTCCGTTGTAACTTCGACCGATGGGTTTCAGATTACTGTAGGTAGTGGTCCCACCATTGGGGGACGTTTCGATGGTCATTTCGACTAGTGTACAAAGGACGTCTTGGCCCTGGAATACATCAATCTCGGCAATGGTTCCGTCGCTCCAGTTCTCGGAACCCAACACCAGCGGATCGTCTSCGATCTTGGGGCAGGCAGTCATTACAACATCGCCCGGRATCGGAGCTAGTGTCGGAAGCGGGACCGGAGCTGGCGTCGGAATCGGGACCGGAGCCAGTGTTGGAACTTTGGTAACATCAATCTCAAAGGGATCGGGRTTGGGAACGAAAGGGTTGTTTCCACACGTGGGGTTGCATTGCAAGATAGCCATGTATTCCACGCCGGGTGCATTTTTGTTGATGCCGACGCCGTCCTCGACTTCGGCAAGACACTCCTGGGGAACGTTAGCCACGTCCTTCTCATTGGCGAAGTGGGTCGCATCGGTAATAAAGAGCCGAACGAGCGCGACACCGGCACTGGAGCAGTAAGYCTGCAGGGAGGAGTCGATCGACTTGCGAGACTCGACTTTGGTGTCGGCAAAGCATGACTTGGATCCGTCGTCTTCATCGTTAAGAACGGCGTAGATGGCATCCACACTGTCGTTTGGACTGTTTGTCTTCCAGGTGTTTCCGATGATGAAATCGACCGTCCCGTCGACGGTTCCTGCCTGGCGCAAGATTTTGATTGGGAGTCCATTGTGTGTAGTGCCACCCACGCGCTGGACGAGGGTGTAATCGTAGGTACAAACCTTTTCGGCATTTTCGGCAGCTTGTATCTCTGGCTTTGGCATGGCTTCTACTCCCGTGTGGGAAGCCCATGGTGATGCCGTAGCCAGCAGGGCGAACACGGCTTGGATGGAGAATTTCATACGGCTCTTCTTCACTCTTGGAATGAAGCACAATATATTGTTTCTAGCTTGCTTGGACTGGATTCGSTTGGATTATATTCCGGTTGAAGGTGGAAGACTCCCTGGTTCTAATGWGGATGTTGGGTATCTCGTATCGGTGCGTTGTTTCAGTATGGGGTTCCTACTGACCTTTTGTTTTATTTTGTTACCCAAGATAAATTATGTGCTTCATACTATGTCATGACAAATGCGATGCCATCTGCTSCAACAGTTACGAAGTTGTTTTTCAATACATTGTACATTTCGGTGGTACGCTGTTGGTTCTCTTTCAGTAGAAGCAACCAGAAAAATTGGGATGTTGGTTGATACAGTAATTAGCGCAAACCGATCTTGCATCGATACCGTACGAGTTCTCGTACGGTCGTACATATGGTCCTGTTGACACGAGTTCCCTTCCAATCGTTTCTAAAACCAATCGTGTCATTTTCGACTGTATGATACTATACTATGGTCATTCAATGATCAATATAGAACTTCGAAAAGAACTATACTGTAMTTCCCCATATTTATTGGTCATTCATTTAGTTTGAACCTTGAAGTCACTACAACTATTGGAATCTATAGCGGGAACACTCCCCTTGAATTTTTAATTCATTTATTGCAGTATTGAATCACCGATATTATTATTGTTACATCGTTCAATGATTTTTCAGAATAAGCCCAGACGATTTATTAGTGCCKTTGAACACKTTCGAACTTTGAAGTTATTCCTGTTTTCTTGCGAATTCATGATCTTCATGACCACGAGTAGCATTATGGCTCTCGTATCAGTAGAACCCCGATTAAGTTGCTGTAGGTACTCCGAGGCTTTGGTACGCAAAACCACGATCTGGCATCGGTTTGCACTGAATAGAATACGTAACAGTAGTAGTCCAATACTATTATCAGGGCACGTCTGGAAAGAAGACTCGTTCTTTTTTGTTGATCACCTCGACTAGTTTTCAGAAGTTTTGAACCGAATGCTAGTAGTACTGTACTACTAGTACTACCTACTAGTAGTGTTAGGTTGGAACGGATGTACAATCAGCAAGAACTGAAGATCATGATAACAAGAGACCAAAAGAGCAGGAGGAGATACTACAACAAATCCTATTGTTACTACTACCACAACAAACTACTATCTACAACTAGTAGTACTAGTACTACTAGTAGTACTACTACTAGTACTAGTAGCTACTACTAATATGCTGTCAGCACATACTACTAAGAACGTCACACAAACTGGTGGTAGTACTTTGGTGCTTTGTTTTTGTTCCCGCGCATAAAATTAAATTCACCTGTATTTTGTAATGCTTGTATGCAAGAAATATCTGGCCATTTTCCTTGGAACATGTTCTTGAACCACTCATGTGAAGTTCGATGCCCTTTGTTCTCATCATGCTCAGTTTCAATTCTTTTATTTGAAATGATTTTTCACATTTGGAATTTGAAGAGTATTTCGTGTTGTCACCAAAATATTATTTTGACTTCCTTCATTCCTCTTGTTGGTTTCAAATTCCTCTTCCCTGATGCCAACTCTCTGCCACATAGTGACAACTTCTCTATTTCTAGTAGCGCCAAATTTATTTCACAGTGAAGCAATTCTATCTAATTGGAAAAGAAGAAATTCTAAATGTTTGGTGCTGCTATTGTCACTATTTTTTCTTGTATCCAATACATTCCATTATTGTTAGTACTGTAGTACTGTAGTACTGTAGTACTGTAGTACAAGTACGTGTACTTTAGTTTGGTTTTCATACCGCTCGTATCTTTGACTTCAGTTCATTTAAGATCTCATTGTCTTCCCAATATTTTTTCTGATCATAATTTTTATCCATTTTTGCGCAACTTTCTTTTTTTATTAGTCTAATTCTATCCTCTCTGTCTCTCTGTTTTCTCTTCTGTACACCGCCCTTAGTGCTTGTTCAATCTAAGCTGAAGCATCTTCCTCTCTTTGCTTCTTGCTTTACCTCTTCGACTAACTTTCCGAACAGCATACGTCCCTCGTAGCTCCAGCCTTCTTTGTTACCTATCCTACTATTGGTGAATCACTTTCTGGTTTTCTTTCCACTCCCAGAATTTTTCCATGATTTGAAGGTGTTGTACAAAAACAGCAGTGCAAAGGCTTTGTCTGTTGCAGTGGGAAAATGGAGCTCAGTTTATCCTTGTGTCACCTTCACTTGAATTCCATTTGTTTAGGGGACACCRCCCCTAAAATCCTTGTTACAAAGTACTTGAATTCCAGCCTATTTTCTTGTCTGTAGCTACTTCTGAGCATGTATGTCTCTCCTCCATCTCCTTCTGCTATGAAGCAATTGCCACTGAATGTATCTGGTACTACTTTGTTCTTTTTGTCTTCTGTACTTAACAAGCAGAGATTGATGATTGTGAGTCACAAAGTCTCTCAATTGTGTCTGATGTTGTGCATGCACTTGCATTCGTTTTGCTTACCCTTGTAATTTTTCCTTGCCAACGTCTGTGCTTTGTGTCTGCATGCAGTGATAGCAMCGTTGATAGTCCCTCCCCACCTTGCTGCAGTGACCACCAAGCTATCTGGAACTGGGTCTGTACCAAACATAGTAGTTTTGAGGTTGACTGCTATGATGGCATCTAAAACTTCATCTTCAAAGGGAAACTTTGTGTGCTAGAAAAATCTCTCCTTAACACATGTCACCAGATTATTCTTCATGACTCCTGTCTCATGCTGATTTATACATTTTTGAATTTTCCCAATCACTGCATCTTCTTGACTCCCATCTACATTGTTTGTCTCCTCAACCATCAAATGTTCTGTTATACTTGGTCTGATAGATATATTAGCTCATAGCTTGAACCGTAGCAAAAGGATGCCTTTTGATCAGCATTTCTCTCTGGTATCAAATGTTGCCAATAAAACATGCTGTTTACCACCCATGTCCCAACAACTTACTGTTTTATTATTATCTACCTATGATGTGTGATCGTGTTTCTGATGTAGTAGCTCTACTGCTATTTACCACGTTATGGCAATTTTTTTCTTGTGATGTTTATTTYGTTTTCTGACTTCACGCCAGGAAATCTTGTGTGCTTGTTGTTGCCCACCACATATTTTCCCTCCTGGCCTTGGTATGAATATCAGTTTTGGGTCCAAAATATTCTGGCGCGGCTCTTGTAAGATTTCTTACGGCTTGGTACATCCAATGCGTCAATACTGTTTTAATTTMGTTTGCACCTAATCTTGTGATCTGGTGGTTGATCCCCGTCCACAAATTTTTATCTCTAATACCCATGTTTAGTAGTATCTTGGTTTTGGACTGACCAAATCCATGTATATGCCATTGATACTAATGAATCATACATGTACCATCCTATTTTTAACCATTTCTTCCGACACTATTTCTCTTTTTCCTTTTGCAAGATTCAAATTCGAATTACTTCCTTATTTGAATTTCTGGTTTGAACACCAACTCAAAAACCCATGCTAACACAAGAAAGATCTGTGTTTCAGGTCTTGTCTGTTTCTTTTATATTGTGTCATTTTGTGTAACAGAAAACCATGGTCCCACTTCAAAATTTGTTACATGTATTGTCTCCAAATCATGCCATACCAAATCTGGGAACGGTTTTCCTGGTTTTGACAGTTTTTTCTCCCAATCCGCAACAAACAGAAAAATCTAAAAAATGTTTCTGTTGTTACCAATAGTGTCTTTTGACAATCACAAACACTGATTCCTTCTTTAAATTCACACTCCATAAAAAGGCGCAATTGCTTCTTTATGTTTTTGGATGACTAATTGTCTTGCTGCAGTCTCCACCTATGTCAATTAAAAGTCCCGTCCCACCATGAGTAGCCATCCACCTGGTCCTCAACAGGCCATATGTACAACCAACCCCAAGCTTCAGGCATTGCTCTCAAAACACAGTGTTCACTGGGAAGAGAAGCAGAAGATTCTTCTGAAAGCTGTGGAAGATGCTTTGGGAAGGGAAGATTACTACGACAACAATTTTGGCCTAGTGGGAAGCAAACATGTCACAACACCGTTCATGGAACTCACAACTTGTGTTTGCATTGCCAGTAACATAGTCATAACCTGTCCTTCTGTCAAATGGGCTACTGGCAATATGCCTGGTGATATTCCCAGGATTATTCATCCATCAWTCAATATGTTTCTTTGCAACGATACAACTAGCAATGGGACTGATTTCTGCATTATTCCACAGAAGCAGTTCAAGAGGCGTTTGGGTCATTACGACTTCAGATCATTACTTTATTGTCCAAGAAGAATCTGTACCTGAAGACCACACCATCCAATGGTGTCAAGGCTGGTGACTCTTCTGCTACTTTGCCATTTGTAACGGTTGAAAGCATTATGAAGTACTTGTTGTTTGTTACAGACATTTTTCACTGGTACTTCAGCTTTGTACAGTTCCCTCCTTTGCCCACCCCCAATGGTAGGTTCAACTGCAGCTTGACTGATTTTGATGTCTTTGAAACAGAAGTGAACGACTAAGTCAATAAAATGGAGAGAACCCTGTCATCCATCATGAGAGACATGATGGCCCTCAGAGACAGAGTTCACTCTGCATCAAATCTTACTAAAGTACACAAGCTTATGAACAATAAATGTTGGAACACTATGACAAAGGAGATTGGCAATTCCCCTCCACAATTAATGCTGTTGCTGTCCATGGAAGTTGAAAGCAAGAAGTATATCACCTCCAACCCGATTATCCTTTAAGCACCTCCACTACCAAGAACACCGTTGCTGGGTGGTTGCGCAAGATGTGGCAAGACTACCATTCATCTTTGGACAGTAAGGTATTTGCTATTCTTTCTTGTATGCACTGCCATCCCTCTGTCCTCAAAAATTCTTTTCATAACTCCATAAACAGACTTCATGACAGTTGACAGTGAAATAAAGGACCAGAAACCCCGTTGATGAATGCCTCAGTCAGGCACTTTCCAAGTTTGGGCTGGGGTCTCCAACTTCCCAAACCTATGAAAGGCCAGATGCGCCTGCCAACCCTCAACCAATATTGTCGTCAACCAGGTAATATTTG